ACACACACACACACACACACACACACACACACACACACACACACACACACACACACACACACACACACGTCGCACATACACACACACACGTCACACACACATATACACACGCACACACACACACATTTATATATATATATATAATGAATTTAATTTATCATGAAAAAATCTTAATACCAAAAAATTATTTATTTTATTAATTTTTGTAGTTTCTCAAAAAACAGGCCAAATTAACTTATAAATATTGTATGCGTTTGTTTTTTGTTGTTGTTTTGTACAAAGTTTGTTTAATGAACATTCTTTATGACATTTCTTTAATGCAGATTCTTCTGATCTAGTCTGCTTTCAACTGAAATTAAAGAACATTTCTAACTTTAAAAAAATTAAGCTCGTTTCTTGATGATTTTTAGACTTTAATAAATAAAAAGAATTATTTGGTACTTTTTTCATGCAGCTTGTATACATCTCTATATTGCATGAGAATGATATAGTGTAGTGTATGTTATAAATGAATACTGAATGAATAGCTATTGTAATTTTTAATATATGCCCTTCTTTTAGATGTATTTATAGATAATTAAATATAAATAATTAAATAAAATAATTAACTCATCATGTTTCTCTCCCTCCTTCCCTCTCTTTCCCTTTCTCTCTCTCTCTCTTTTTTTCCTACTCGTTTTTTTATTATTCCTCTAGAATAGTATGCACTGGAGTACTAAAGCACTGCTTTTAAATAAATTGTATTCGGTTTTACCCTTTTCAATTTAAGTCTTTTCCGGTCAAAAACATTTTAACAATATTCTTCTGTCTGAAAGTCTAATATTTGTATAAAATAACCAACACATCCTCTTGCAACCCCAAAAATGTCATCGTTACTGAAATAATTATTTTGAGGTCTATATATTTTGTTCTAGTTTATCAAAAACATTTAACAGTTTTCACCAAAGGAGGTGTATTGACCTAGGTGGTATCTACCTATATACACTATCGTTTGTTTAGCCAGCCAAATTACTTTCAACTATGTAACAACAGTTTCTGTGTCTGTCAGATTCTGATTGTAAAAGAATGGAGTTTGTTGACTGAGCTGGACACAGGGTACAATGTGGTCATCATAAGCATTTATCTCTTAAAAATTTATTTCTTATTTAGCATTCACGCCAACTCTTAAAAGTCAAATAAAAAATGTACCTATTGCGTATATTTAAATCTTATACTTAGCAACTTACTGGGCGAATCACAATATATGTTGTTAGAATTATTTACAACATGTTAGTGACAGTCAAATGTATTTCAAGAAGTTATTTGAGGTCCACAACAAAAATATCTGGCCCATCTGACGGCAATTAACGTGTTGTTTATTTTTTTTAGCTTTGCTGCCAAACAGGTCAAATAAAATAAATTCTGAAAAACTTAATTCGAAAAGTTAAACTAAGGAATTTTAGTGATGGAATTCAAGAAATCCATCTCATCAAAATGTCGATAATATTCTTCTTGTTATAAACTTTACCGGAAGCAACAGTAGCTATGATGTCAGACATTAATTAATTATAATTATTATCATTTGAAGGAGATCCTCTCAGCAAGGACAGCAATCGAGATCCCATTATAATATTGCTATCGGAAAATACTTCCACCTTTAGTTCAGATAAGCAAGAGCCAATAAACGTAATATAACGAGACAGATGCTTTCGGATCAAATACAATATTTCAATTCTCATGTGTTATATAAATTTTCCTGAAAAAAAAATGATTACATACATACTTTTTAAATAATATGTATCTTTTTAGCGATTGCCTATCCGGAAGTTATAAAAATTGATTCAATGGAGAATAAAAAATAAACATAAGACGATGGAAAAAGATTTGATTTTAACTATTTCTAAATAAAATGGGCTGATGAATTGTGACTTATTTTTGTGATCGCACGTCTCAGTAATATTAACAAGCAACATTAAAATTAAAAAAAAACTAAAATATGAATGTGATCGACCAAAAGCCCAACCACAATGATTACGGGGGAGCATACAATCGATTCCACCGCCGGATGGACATATACAGATCCCACCATGAGCAGAACTACAAAAAGTACCTGCCAGTCTGGGCCGAGGAGGTCAAGTTGCGGAGGGAGGAGACCAACCAACTGTACAAGCGATGGCTGGAGCAGCAGGCGAAGACTAGCAGTGGTGGGAAGTCTTCCAAAGTTGACACAAGTGGTTCTGCCAGTACTGGTGTCACCAAGGTTCGTTTGGTTTGTTTGGCAGTTTTCCTACTTCCTATTTAAACTAACTAACTACAGCTTTTTAAATTTCGCAGAAAGTGAAGAGAAAGTTGTCAAACAACGAAGGAAATCAAACAGCGGGTAGTGCTCCAATAGCTAGTACTGGCAGTAATAATCCCTTGAACTTTAATAATCAGTCCAATGTAGATAATTTTCGAAATACTTTCAAACACAATAAAATAAGTAAAATGAATCCTCACCCAATTCAAGAATTCAATTTTCAAGGTTTGTGTTAATGTATGCTTGTCTATTTATTAAGCTAAACTAAAGTGAATACAATTATTAAGAAATTTCAGTGAATTTCCTGCTTTGATTAGTTTAACAAGGCTGAAAATGCTGTGATATTTTTTTATAATTATATATATATATATATATTTTTTTTTATTAATATATTTTTATCAATAAATAATTTATTTCTAAAGGAATTAATATTTATTTTTTAAATTTAAAATTTAACGCTTTGGTTAATATTTTATTCATATATTCTGAAAAATATATATTGACGTTATAAATTTCAGCAAAGGTACTTCAAAATAGTGTGAACAATTTGAAATCAAACCACCACAACAACTCCACCATAAACATTCCTGAGGTCTGCAACATGAACAAAAGTTTGAAGGACCAACCATTCATCAACACTGCTCCTGTTTGTTGCATAATTGTCTTTTCTATTCTAACTTTTGATTTTACAAAGTTTTCTGTTTCTGCATGTTCAAGAACACAGGCTGTCTTCTTGTAAGACATACTACTTAGTTTTACCGATAAAAGTAAATTTAATTTAATTTAAATTTAAATGTAATTTAAATTTAATTGGTTAAAATAATTTACACGTTTAAAGCAATAATCTGTTGAATAGGCCAAGAAATAATGTATATAATTATATATCTTACTCACCATACAATATATTGAACAACCTTGATAATTTCGTGGAACGATATCTGCTAAAATTGAAAACAGTTGTGTTTCAGGTAGAGGCCATTAGAATTGAGGCTAAAAGGACATTAAAATATAATTTTTCATTTTAAACAATTTTAATATTTGAATAAAAACTTCAGATGCCTGCTGCACTTATGCTGCCCACAGTACCAACACCTGCTGAGAATTCCATGGACAACAAAATGCTGGAGGAGGATTTTGATGACATAAAGGATCTGTTTGAGTTCCTCAACTCAGATGAAGACATCCCCGAAGATATTTTGCGAGGTAGCGAAAAGGAGATCATGCCGCAGAACGATGATTCCTTTGGTATGAAGGTCACTGATCATGATGATGCACTTTCAAACCCTCTATCAGGGTATCGATCTTATATCCACAATTTCCTCGCTGAATCAACTTCCACAGATTTCATTCCCAATCTGAATGAATCAAATCAAAATGATTGTTACATCCCATCCACCAACCATGCAACAGCTTCTGGTTACGCAAAAGATGGTGCTAGCAGTTTGATGGGTCTTGATCCTAAAACCTCTGCCAACACATCATCCACTGCTCTTGAAGGTTCAACAAAAAACTCTTCCCCACAACAAACCACAAATTTAAACTTCAACAACATGAATGTAACTGATGCCAGTGCAAACTTCAGATCAGGATTGAAGGGGAGTCCAGTGATTGATAGTAACAATAGGAGCAACAACAACAGTGCATACATGAATTCTATGTCTCAATATTCTGTCGGTCACCTGAATGGCCAGGAAACCATTTTTCTGCCTCGTTACAATGACGTCATTATTGCTGACCAATCGGTCTGCAGTAGCAGTAACAACGACTTAGGCATGGGTGCTGATGTTAATTTCAACAACCCTAACAATAACAATCACAACAGCAATGCGAATGTTAACATTATTAACAACATGTCAAATGTTAAGATGTCAAACAACTTGAATCTTCTTAACAGTAGCCCCGTGAACAGCACCACAAGTTCAAATAACTGCTTTTATCCAAATCAATATTACCACCATCAACAACAACCTGCTTTCAACCAAAACAATTTCTACAATGCTGACCAAGATGTGGCATACATTAATAACCTTCAACACAACAACACAGCTATCCAAAGCAATTACTTCACCGACAGCGGTGATCATAACGGCAACAACGTTTATCCCATCATGTCACAGAGAGAAAAAGATTTTTCAAACACTGGCGCCTGCTCCTACAACTTCGATCCACCATCTTCTAACTTCTTCCACAACTCTTATGGCAGTTCCTACATTAACAACGCATCCAGTTACGCCAACAACGTCAACAGCATTACTGGCAATAATAATAGTCTCGACTTGCAATACATGTCCTACCAAGGTACTGGCACTACGTGGGTGAGTGAAGTTAATGCTGCCGGCAGCACACAGGATCAACAATATGTCAGTCAGCACCCCAACACACTTTCCAACAATAAATACACTAGCCCGTCCGCAAGCAATGCATGTAGTAGTGAGAGCATGTTACAAATGCTGCAACAACCGTACAGAATTCAACAACAACAAATACAACTACAACAGCAAGCGCAGCAGCAGCAACAACAACAGCAACTTCAGCAACTGACCACAAGTTATCAATACAATATCAACAACAACAACAATAACAACACAAATAACATAGGTAATGACTATTATAATGGTGGTAGTGCCAACACAATGATGATGATGTCACTGAGTACTAACAACACTCTCATCAACAATGCTAACATGAAACATTATCACCACATCACGCCACTCACATCATCTTCATCGTCATCATCATGTCATGTTCCTTCGTCATCATTGTCGTCGTCATCATCATCAACCTCCCAATGTCTCGACCAAAGTTCTGAAAGAGTTTTGAGTATGATTGATGACATTATCAATGGCAAAAAATGAAGCAAATGAAGAAACTTCACAATGTAGATGTACATGTAGATTGTACAGATCACTTGTACGTGTAGGTAGTACAAGTCAAGTCCTATTAATCTGTCGTTCGTAGCTTAGGTGTAATGTATAGATAGAAATAAAATTTAAGAGTTATTTTTTACATGTTGGTAAATAAATACTTATTAGTTTGATCAAGACTCTCCATCCATACATATCATGTATCCATGTGCCTTCATTGCACCAATTTTTCACTTAGTTATGTTCACTCTTTATATATGCAGATGTATTTAAAATATTTATTTTGTTATTTAAATGTTTTATTTATATGTTTTACTTATATATTTTATTTATAAGTCATCAATCATACTCAAAATTTGTAAATAAGGTGTTGGTATTTGTTATATCTATTTAAATTTCAAACATTTTTTGTTAGCGATCTTGCATTGATCTGAATAATGAAATTTGTATGTGCTGCTATATTTTTTTTAAGTTATTCTTTTGGTCTCGTATCATCATGGTGTAGGTGTTGTTGTGCTGTTGGTGGAAGTTCATGTATTGCCCATTTTGATGAAATAAGTGCTGTCATTGAGCATAATGCACCTCACCTTACTTGAACTCTCCGCTGTGTTCTGTTGAGGCCGAATAATTAAACGCCGAGAAGCATGCAGTAATCTAAAGTATATTGTAAAGAAACTGATGATGAATTTATTTAAAGACATTGATTTACAATGACCTCAAGGTTAAAGATAAATAAGTATTAAATTTTATAATTATAATTAAAAAAAGTATTTAGAATGGATTTTTCTTGTTTTCCAAAATGATGCTTATGTTGCTTTTTTGTTTTTGAAAATAATTGGTTTAAAGTTCAGCCTAAATTTGGTTGCTGGATTAACTGAAGCTGATGAGAATCACTTTGTTTCTCTTGTTTTGTTGTCGCGTTTGGAGGCATATGTTCTGAATGCGGACATCATTCTGATTGGAAACACATTTCATTTTGACATTTGTGAACTCTTCTCATAAATGTGAACATTTTCATAAACATGCCAATTTTTTTTAATTATTTGAACAATATTTTAAACAACTGTTATGAATAATAATAATAATAATTTTGTTTATCTTAATAATTTTTATCACCACTGTACTTAATTAACTTACTTCAAGCAAAAACAGCTTGAACTTAGGACCTGTTAGTTTGAGGTATCTTATCTACTGTTAGTTTCAAAAAGTTGTATTTCTAATTTTTTATACATTTTTGTTCATGAAATTCTATATTTTTTTTGTAAAAGAATTAATTCCAAGACAGATCCATTATAGAAAATATTATCTATATAATTTATTTTATTCTTCGTTAGAGTTTGTTTTAGATTGATACATTCATCTTCATGTTATCAGCTTACATCGCCAACCGGCCAGCCAGCCGGCCAGACGTTACGTTGTGTCAACTGAACATTTTGAATAAACCGTAGATTCATGTTACTTTGTTATTTTTTCACATATTTCCTATTCGTTTAATTTTCGTTCTACATCTGCATTAATGTTTCCAAAATATTCTTGTAAGGAACTTTTTCAAATATTATTTTTGCTTCGTTGTCTTGGTTGAGATGAAAACAAAGACACGGAACCTATATAATGTTTTTTTTTTGCAATTTATGTTACCCATTTAGGAATTAGTATAAAATGCTTTATTTTTTGTAACTTTTTTAGTTTTCTTCTAGATTTGTAGACGGAAATGATACATTGACACTTGAATACGTCCACATTCATGTTTTCCTTCTTATCGTTATGCACTAACTTCAGTTTTTAGCTTTACTGACGTATTTTCAACATGTTTTTATTATTAAACATTCGATTCAAACGTAAAATGTTAAGCACAAGTTTTAATAAATTACATTTAATAATAAATAAATGATATGTTTACTAATTGATAATCATAAAAGGGTCCATGCGTTCCGCTGACGTTTGTTGTTTAAATATTTTTATTTATAGTATACAAAGTATACATTTATAGTATACATTGTTCCTTTTTTAATTTTTAAAGTTTTGAAAATTTTTTTACTACCAAATTTGTGATCTGTATTAATTTCTCATGGCCTTAACGTTTTTTACTCAATTATATTTTAAGTGTTGAAAAGTTTTTAAAATTTAATTTTCATAAATATACCGAAATGTTATTGGTTGATAAAATTAAATTTACACTATGCTATATTTTGTATTGTATGATGATACAATTTCTATCCTTACAGCCTAACATGTTTACGAATTCTATTTCTCATTTGGAAGAAACAAAAATTTACTATAGCAATTTAGCTTTGTAAGAGTAAGAGTTCGTGCATACTTTAAGAGCGAAATGTGAATGAACGCTTGTGTAAAACAGCACAACGAGGAGGGCAAACATGCAGAGTGATTTGAGAGAAACGTGAAATTCTTGCTAGGTGAGATGATTCCGTATGCAAAGTATCAGGCCTGCCTCGGCATAAATTCTCAATTCGAAGACGAATGCGTCAACATTATTAGATGAGAAAAAAGAACAGCAATGTAAATTACTTGGCCCTGAGACAATCCTCTGCTAATTATTGCCAGTGTCGGCTTACAAATATTTGTGAAGGAATAAATAGGAACAAAAAAATGCGCTGTTGACAAATGTTTTAGTAAACGTCGAATGCTCACTTTTTGATGGTTTTGAAAAATTTAAATTAGACTGTTAATTTAAGTTCATTTAAATTAGTTTACAATGGTCGAGCTTTGTTCTAACCGAACTTAAGTTGTAACAACTTTTAGTACTTGGTAGTCATGCATAATTTTCTCTCTTAAAATCCAGTTATTGCGGTTTTATAGTAGGTATCTAGCTCCTCATTTGGTAGTTGTGAGACTGTGTATATACAGATGTTTAATTGTAACAGTATGTACGTGTGTAGGGCTGGCAACGCCTACGTAAATCTATTTTACACGTTAGGAATTGTTAGCATAGAACGTAAAAATTTAGAGATAAGCAGAACGTATTATAAGCGGTCCAAAAAGGGTGTGATGTACAAATTTATGACACAATCAACTTTTTAATGACCCTGCTGCAATGCAGATGTCCACAATTAGACCGAAAAAAACATTCTATAATATTTATTCTCTCAAAAAATTGGACCGTGCGAACACAAATAGAAATAAGTAATTTGTAGTTTGAAGATGTGATAATTGAATAGAATGAATTAACAGTTGAAGACAACTCGCCCATCGACTTAGGTACGTGTCTATCAAAGCCATCATATCGCGACATTGTGAACATCTAACTTTTCAGACTGAATTGTTTTGTATTGTTTCAAATTTTACTATTGCTATTATTAATAATCTTGATAGAAAAAAACAAGAACTTTTTGTTTTTTCACAGGCTTTTGATCTTTTGCATATAGTCAAGAGACAAGTTGTAATAAAATAACAGGAAATAAAAGAGTCACGTGTCCGCAATTAAAGGGCAGCACGGTCCCAGCAAGCATCGGCGCTGGAAGAAAGGAATAATAATCAACGCGATTCCAAATAAATAGAAATAAAAACACAGGAAAAATTTACAAAGGAAGAAACTTTGTAAAAATATATCCATTATTGTCTTTGATGCATGAAACAAATTTGATTGTTCTTGTTTTTTATGGGGTTTAAAAAGGTTGGTGTACGAACAACGCACAACTAAATGGATAAAATTTTAATAAAACTCCACAATGATGACGAAATGTCGATAGGTTAGTTGCAATGAAACATCATCCAGTTAGGTCTTTGTATTTTCTGAAGATGTTAAGTTATCAAGATACGAAATTAATTATAAATTTTTATAGAATCAGCTTTGTGAATATCTGTACCTATTACACATTTAATTTGTATATCAAAATTGTTTGATAGACCATAGGTTTAAAACATAATTTTTTGGTCAAAATTGACTTTTCAGTTAATTTTTTTTATCAAAATATTAATTTGTAAAAAAATGAAGAAGTTTAATAAGACCTTGTGTTTGATCTCTGGACAGGTGAACGCCAACTTAAGAACAGGCAGTGAAAAATGAAAATAAAACAAAGCAACACTTGTATACCAACCATATTTTAAAAAGATAAATACAACACATATAATTTTGTGAAATGTACGTAAGCCAGCCATATGAATTTTTAAGTAAAAACATTTCGAGTTATTTGTGAAATTTAAAAAGTATTTAAATTACTAGAAGAACTTTTTCATGTATTCTTGGAAGATTTTGAAGGTGTAAAAGTATCTAATGAATAAAATATTAAATTGATGATAAAAAAATAAAAAAGAGGGAAATTTGTGTAATTTGTAAAACTGGATAGCAGGAATAGTCCACGCAATTGACCAAACAAATAATGAAAAATGTAGTTGACATTTATTAATGATATTTTTTTGTCGCAATTTATTTGAAAATATGAGAGTCATGGATTTAGTATTTTGTCTATGACCTCTCAAAGCTTAATTCGACCCTTGTTAATGTTCTTCAAAATTTCAAGCCGTACATTTTAAAAAATTGTTAATATTTACAATTATTTATTATTTTTATTTCGCAAAATTTGCTATTCAACGATCTAACTCTCTATAATCATGAAATATCTGTAAAAGATCCTGGTCACTGCATAACTTGGAGTGAGTGTATGAGATTAAGTGTGTGTGTGTGTTTAAGTGTGTGTGTGTGTGTGTGTGTGTGTGTGCGTGTGTTAAAGTTTCTTATTTATCTATTCAAATGATGTGTTTATGCGTTGAAAGAACGCGAGTAATGCCGCATTCGTACAACTGTCGTGTCATTTCAAGATTGATTGCATCGTCTTTTCTTATTGTGGCGATTGAATAAAACACGTTTGTCACCGGGAATGTGTGTCTTGCGCTGTCGCTATTTCGTTTGTCGACGTGTTCATCGCTACTTTATCTTTCTGACGCAAATATAGATTTGATGAATAATTTCAATTTTATAAGATATTTATAATTTATTATTCCAATGATGTAAAATAATTCATTTAAGGAAATAA